TTGATCCATTTCAGTTCTAGTTTAGTACATGGTGAATAAGGGTCTAGATTTAATCTTTGCCATGTGGAAAGCCAGTTTTTCCAGCACCATTTATTAAAGAGGCTATCTTTAATGAAGTAAAGGACTTCATTAGTGAAGGTATCTTTAGTGAAGGTGTTTGGCCCCTTTGTTAAAGATAAGGTGGCTAAGTATGTCTGGAGTTGTTTCTGCACCTTCTAATTAGTTCCATTGATCCTCAGGTCTTTTGTTTTTGCCAATACTATGCTGTTTTTAACCATAATACTTTGTAGTATAATTTCAAGTCAGGTATTGTAATGCCCCCTGCCTTACCTTTGTTGCCCAGAATTACCTTTGCTATTCTAGGTCTCATCTGGTTCTAAATGAATTTTAGGATTATTTTTTCTTATTTTGTGAGATATGCTGTTGGAATTTTGATCAGGATTGCATTAAATCTGTACAACAATTTTGGAAGTATGGCCATTTCACTATATTAATTTTTGCTACCAAAGAGCAAGGGATATCTTTCCATTTACTGATATCCTATTCAATCTCTCTTTTCAGAGTACTGTCATTTTCAATATAAAGGTCTTTTACTTTCTTCATTAGATTGATTTCTAAGTATTTCATTTTTTTGGATGCTATTGTGAAAGATGTTGTTTCTTTAATTTCTCTCTCAGTGAGTTTGTTATTTGTGTACAGAAAGGCTATTGATTTTTGAGTGTTGATTTTGTATATAGCTACACTAATGAATTTGGTTATTAAATCTAGAAGTCTTTTGGTGGAGTTTTTGGGGTCTTCTATGTAGAGTATCATGTCATCTGCAAATAATGATATTAGAACTTCTTCCTCTACTCTCCTTATTCCTTTTATTTCCTTCTCTTGTCTAATTGTTCTGGCTAATATTTCCAGAACTATATTGAATAAGAGTGGTGACAGACATTCTTGTCTTGTTTCTGAATTTAGAGTGAAAGCTTTCAGTTTTTGTCCATGAGGTATGATGTTGGCTGTTTGTTTGTCATAGATGGCTTTTATCAATTGAGATAAAGATCATCTATTCCAATTTTCTGTAGGGTTTTTATCATGAATAGGTATTGGGCTTTGTCAAATGCTTTTTTTGTATCTTTTGAGATGATCATATGTTTTTGTCCTTGGCTCTGTTAATATGGTGTGTTACATTTATTGATTTGTGTATGTTGAAACACCCCTGGGTCCATGGGATGAATCCCACTTAGTATATAATCTTCTTGATAATTTGCTGCATTCTGTTTGCCAGTATCTTTTGGGGGATTTTTGCATCTATGTTTATTAGGGAGACTGGCCTGTAGTTCTCTTGCTTGGTTGGGCCTTTCTATAGTTTTGTGTCAGGGTAATGCTTGCTTCCAGGAATGAATTTGGGAGTATTGCTTCCCTTTCAATTTCATTAAAGTTTGTTTGGGAAGTAGAAGTATTAGGTCTTCTCTAAATTTCTTGTAGAATTTGGCAGGTTTTTGTTTTGGTTTTGGTAAGTTTTTAATTATATCTTCAATTTCATTGATGGATATTAGTTTATTTAGAATTTTTATATCTTCTTTATTCAGCTTTAGTAATTCATATGTATTTAGGATTTTGTCCATTTCTTCTGCATTTTCCATCTTATTAGAATACAGTTTCTTGGGCTAGGGATATAGCTCAAGTAGCACAGTACCTGCCTGGTAAGCACAAGTTCCTGAGTTCAATTACCAATACAAACAAACAAACAAAAAGCAGAGAATACAGGTTCTCCAGTTAGGGGTAGATAATCTGGATTTCTGCGTGATCTGTTGTGATTTTATCCTTTTCATTCCTAATTGCATGGATTTGAGTCTTTCTTTCCTTTTTTCTTGTTTTCTTTCTGTCTTTTTGAGACAGAGTTTCATTATGCAGTTCATATTGGCCTTGAACTCAACTTTGTAGCCCAGGCTGGTCTCAAAATCACAGCAATCCTCTTGCCTTTGCCAGCTGAATACTGGCATTACAGGTGTTTGCCACCATGCCTGACCTTCTTCCCTTTTTTTTTTTTTTTTAATCAGTTTGGCTAAGGGTTTTTCAGCTTTATTTAGTCTGTCAAAGGACCAACTGTTTGATTCATTTGTTCTTTGTATTGCTTTTTTATGTCTCCCTTGCATTAATTTCTGCTCTGACCTTGATAATTTCCTCCCTGTTACAAGCTTTGGGCTTGAATTCCACTTCCTTCTAGAAGCTTGAGGTTCAACCTTAAGTTGTTTATTTGAGCTCACTCTATTTTCTTGCTATGGATATTCACTGCTATAAATTTCCCTCATAGGACTGCTTTCATTGTGTCCCATAGGTTCTGGTATGTTGCACTGGCATTATGGTTTAATTGTAGGAACTGTCTAATTTCTTTTTTAGTTTCATCTGTGACCCATTGGCTATTCAGGAGGGTGTTATTTAATTTCCATGTTTCTATGATGCTCTTGTTTCTTTTGCCATTGATTTTCAGTTTCATTGCACTATGACCTGATAATACACATAGGATAATTTCAATTCCTTTGCATTTACTTAAACATTTCTATGAGCTAATATGTGGTCTATTTTGTAGAATGTCCTAGGTGAAACTGAGATTAATGTGTATTCTGATATTGTGGAGAGGAACACTCTGTAGACATCTACTAAATCTATTTGTTCTAAGGTTTGTTTCAGTTCTAAATTTCACTGTTGATTTTTTTTTTTGTTTTGCCTAATTGATCTGTCTTTTTGTGACAGTGGAGTATTGAGATCCCCCAGTATAATTGTATTAGTGCTTATTTGATTTTTCATGCCCATTATTATTTGTTTTATATAGTTGGGTGCACTGGTATTTGTTGCATATATATTTATAACTGTTATCTCTTCCTCTTGGATTGTTCCCTTTACAAGGACATTCTTGTGACCTTCTTTATCTCTCTTAATCAGTCTTGGCTTGAAATTCACTTTGTCTGCAAATAGAATAGCTACCCCTGCTTTTTTCTGGGTTCCTGTCACATGGAGTATGGTTTTCCATCCTTTGATTTTCAGCCTATGAATTTCCCTGCGAGGGTAGTTTTCTTGTATGATATCTGTGAACAGGTTTTCTATGTCATTTGTGCTATCTCCTGCTTTTTCATTGACTCTGATCAATTTTTTTTTATCTTTTTAAGACAAGGTCTTGCTATGCAGTTCAGGCTGGCCTTGAGCTCACTTTGAAGCCCAGGCTGGCCTTGAACTTGCAATGATCCTCCTGTCTCAGCCTCCCTAGTGCTGGGATGACAGGCATGTACCACCACTAATCAATCTTATATTATTTTTATTTGCATAATCTAGTAATTGCTGGACTGATTTTTCATGGTCCTTTCCTACTTTTAAAAAAGTCTTTCTTTTCATGATCTCTAACTGCAATCCTGTCTTGTATCTCTGAGATTCTGTCCTCATTCTGTGGTATATACTTTCAATGGAATTTTTAATTTCCTAGATAAATCTGTTGGAAACTGTTTCATGGCTTCCATTAGTTTCTTATATTGGGTGTTCATGGATTCCATCATTTTCCTAAGCTCCTCTAATTTTTTTAAATCTGTATCTGCTCTAGAGTCACTAAGAATATCCTTCATTATGGTCACCATTTCTGTAGTTATCTGAGAAATTATTTCTGATTTGACTTTTTCTAGAGCCTCATTCCTTTGCTTTGTTATTTCCACTGTTACCACTTCAGAGAGTCCAGGTAGGTAGCTTTCAGATTGTTCCACCTCACTGGCCCCTGGATTTGCCTTTGGTGAACTGGAAGTCTGGGGTTGCATCTTGTTCAAGGGTTTTCTCATTTTCTGTTTGTTTTACGTTTGATTCCTGGGTTGATGCTTATAAGTTGCCTATGGTGAGTAGTTTTATTGCTACTATTTAGAACTCTTAGGAAATGACTACTCAGAGCTGTCTTTCAGGTGTAGCTGGCTTTTGGGTTTTGAGTCTGTTGCAAGATCCTGCCTCTTGAATTTATTGGGATGAGAAGTCGCTGCCTACTTGGCCCAGCTCCTGGTTCTTTGGAACTGGGCTATAGTATTTTTTATGACCCTTCGGCAACTCAGTCTTGATATACCAGGAAGAACAACTGGTTAGAAAAATTCTGTCACTTTGGCTAAAGTGGTACAATCAGCAATAACAATAGCATCAAATACAGCTTAGAAAATGACAAGCTGAGGTACCTATTAATTTTCTACCTTTAATCACCTGAAATAGATTTGTGGTCATATAACAAATTCTAAAACAAACCAGAAAATTATATGCACAAAACAACCCCTCAATATGGCCCTTTTACCCTTAGTGGAGAAAACTTAAAAGGGGTTGGGGAAAAAAACAGATAAATAGAAGAAGTGGAATAGATTAGAATCAAGGCTGGAGGATAAAGGAAGATCACACAAATTTTTGGAAACTGGTAAAGAAGACAAGAAGGAAAGAAAGAAGGAATAAAAACAAGAATAGAAAACAACAACAAAAAACTAGAAACCATGTTCACACTCATGTGAAAATAATAACAATGATGATAAAACAAAACAAAACCAAAAAAAAATGACAAGAGACAAAGAAAAAAAAGTCCACTTCAAAGTGTGTCTCTGCTGTCACTGGTAGACAACATGGCCAGAAAGAGTCTAGATCTGTGTTGGTTTTTTCCAGCAAGCCAGCAGTAGCGTTATGGTGAGCTAATGGATAATCCCATTGAGACTACACCTTTATTACCACTGAAGTTCAGGCTGGTTTCTGGCCATGAGGCTGGAACCAGACATGTTCAACCTGCAGCGGTCTATGTCCCTCCTGCTGGCTTAAACTCAACTGGGAGCCACTAGATGGAGCCAGCAGTTGCTCTGAGTTCAGCTCAGTTGGCCCCCCTGCAAGATGGTTCCCAGCCAATTGCCCTCTCTTGCCAGATGTCTGAAACCAAATAACTCACCAGCCACTGCAGCCTGCCATGTGCACTGCTCCATTCCACTGGTGCATTTCTCCCTGGAGGACTCTTGGGTTGCCAGTAGTCACCACAGGTCTCAAGTTCGATCCACCCCTCCCATGTAGTGAGTCTGGGCTCCAGGGGAAAGCACCACTTGCCATCTTCCTCTTCTTTGTTGAAGTTTCTCTCTTCAGTCTCCCTGTGGGATTCAATTCTCTCTTCAGATCCTTTCTGGGTCCTGGGGACCCAATTCCCTCCTTTCTGTCCTTCACGTTGCTATATTCCAGTGTCTGGACACCAAATCTTGGAGAGGATGTTTCTCTGCTGCTCACCACTCTGCCATCTTCCTGGAAGTCTCTTGACTCTTATATTTAGATCTATGATCTGTGTTTTTGGGAGTATACACATCCAAGTGTAAGTAAGATAAGCAACCACAGTGTGAATATTCTTAACAAGACTGAACTGTATGCCAAAAAACTGTTTAAGAAGGCCAATTTTTATGTTATTTTGTTTGCCACAATTAAAAAAAAAAAGTAGGGAGGGTGCTTCAGAGATAGAGAATGGCATATCAAATTATCACCTAAAAATGGACTCACAGGAAACTAGGATGTACAGTTCTTTCTAATGCCTGGGTAATTATTTCAAACCGTATATTCACCTTCCTTTTTTCCCATTCTTTTCAGAGTTGGGTATCAGAAATTAAAAAAGAAGAAACTAAAATGCAATTTCAGGAAACTGAAACATTTCCAAAAATGAGAGATCACTTGCCTCCAGTTCGTGGTTCAAACAATGATCTTCATGTCACCAAGGTAGACCTTTGTGGGGTGGAATGGCCTGGGATAGGGGAAAGATGCTGGCTTTGCTGATGGGGCTGTCTCAGCCCATCAGAGTAGTCAAAGCATGATCTCCTCCAGGAGAACTGGGGAGGTCTGCCGCTGGTGAATACTGTCACTGTCTTTGGTAGGCCATATCTCATCACAAGAGAACTCAGAATGAAGCAGTGTTTCCTTTGACATCTTATATATTGGGTTTACCATCTTTCCTCCTTTTTTTTCTTTTGCTTTCCTGTCTTCTGTTCTGACCAGTTTTTATGAGCCCAGTTTTTATAAGGTCCCATTCAGTGTGCAACTTTTCCAGGAACAATTTTAATACATCCAGAGGAACAGAGGATACGTCTTGCTATGTGATTTAATGACCTACAGATGAGCAATGGTAAACAGATACCATCACAGATTTATAGATGTCACCTTCTGTTGAGTGCATGTTTTTTTTCTCTTGTCCCATCTCTCTGTGGTTGGTCCCTGATTTGTCACGTAGACCTCTCCTTCTTAACCAGGAGTTTCATAGGGAAGGGGCCTATTGGAGTTCCAGGTCCATCTATTTAAATTCAGGTTGAAACTGGGCCTCTTGGCCTCCAACCGCCCTTGTCATTTCTGACGGGATAGCTACCAAAGTCTTTTCATTCTGGGTTAACTCAGTCTTGTTGTTTTCATCGAATCTTCAAATTTATTTTTAAAACATCCATAGCCCCTCATCACTCCGTTCTCTAACACTTCTTTCCTGTACTTGTTTACCCTTCATTAGGAATTACGCAGATGACTGAGGGGGACTACTATCTGTAACCCACAAATTTATTTTTATTAATTGAACACTATGTGTTATGTTGGTGCCTTCAAATTGTAGCAATAAATAATACTCAGTCTTTGCCCTCAAGGAGGTTATAATCCATTGTGGTAGACAGACTGATGGTACAATGATTCTCAAAGTTTGGTCCAAGGACCCTAGAATTCCAGAGCTCCAAACAGTTGATGCCATGATTTTGTTTTGGCTCTGGAACAGTCTCAACTATGTTGCTCAGGTTGGCCAAGAACTCTAGGGCTCAGGTGATCTTCCTGCCTCCACCTTCTAAATAGCTGGGACAACAGGTGATGCCATTGTGTCTGGCCATGTTATCTTAAGAATCATGTTAGTGCTTTGTTTATTACAGTGTGTTGATATTTGCACTGAGAATAAAATTCCTAGTGCCTTAACATAAATGAAGGCAGTGGTATCAAACTGTACTCATGGACCTGGTGAAAAATTCCAGTTTAACTTAAAAATACCTTTAATTCCAATATAAATTTTGTGTAATGTTGAACCTCAAAGATATGTCTTCTTATTTTTTGTGTGTGACAAAGTAGGAAATGTGCAGGAAGTGCTTTCCTCAGTAATGAAGTATAGCATTTTTTTTTTTTGTACCAGGAATTGAACTCAGGACCTTGTGCTTACCAGGCAGGTGCTTATGCTGCTGAGCTATATCCCCAGCGTTGGCATATCTCAAGAAAAGCACTTGTGTGCTGAAGTAGCCACTTCTGGCAACAGTGTTTTTACTTGAAAGAATGTTCAACAAGACAAACTAAGGTTATTCAGACTTGGGTATTTGCGGGCATTTGTTAAATGAGCAGAAGACCTGTCATTTTAAGGAAAAATGACTGACTATTTGTTCCCAGTGAGAAAATCTGAGCTTTCAAGTGCAAATTAGGGTTTTCATTTTCCTATGCACTTGTTGAATACCTACTTGTGACAAAAAAGTGCTGTATTCCCTTAGGGGGATACTTAACAAAAGACCAAAAGACGAAATTACAACAAATTGAAAGATCAAGCTGGGTTTTATTAAGGGTTCTTGAATTGGAGTGGTATCTTCTAAAAGTTTAGAAAAGGCCTTCCATTGCATATGGCAGAATAGTTGGTTTTTATTAGGTATCAAGAGCAAGAACAAAGACTATAAAAAGCAGACTGGTAAACATCAGGTTACTGTTCTTGAAGCAGAGGGGCCCTCCTTATCTTATGGCTACTATCTCTCTCCTCTCGGAAAAGGTCAGATAACTTAGTTTTTGGGTAGTGAGGTGGACTCCATTTCACATGAGTGGCTCCATTTTGGTTTGATTTGATGGGACCTAGTGCCAGAGTTCATTCCAAGTCGGGATAATTCCAAGTCTTATAATTCTTCCAAAGCATAGTTTAAAGACTTTCCTAATGAGACCCAGACTATTAATAATATGATTTTAATTGTATACTGAAATGTGTGAATGTTTGGAAGATCAGCATAACTCCAAATGACCATAATTTTCAGAAGTCCAACAGTGTCATATTACCAAAATCTTTACACCTGCTGACATAGTATGATATTAGTGATAAGGCGAATGATATAGGACCTCAAATAATTCAAATAGTGTGAGGGAAATACAACTCCCCACCTGCTAGATGTCTGATGTGCCAAGTTTGTGTTCTCTAAAGTTGAGGGATGGGGTTGGGGATGTAGCTCAGTGGCACAGCACCTGCCTGGCAAGCTTGAGGTTCTGAGTTTGATTCCCCATACCAAACTAACTAACTAAATAACTAAATAAATAAATAAAATAAAGGATGAATTGTAGGAACAGTGGAGTAGGAGTAGGAGAATTTGTTGAGATAAAGAAAGCTTCTAAGAGGGACAGAAGGAGGCCCAGAAAGTGGGTTGCCTGCCAACCTCGCTTCTCAAGGGTGTTTAATTGAATAAAGCCATGAAATGAGGTGGGGTCAAGGTGGGTCAGAACTATAATCAATCAATAAGATTACAAGTATAGTCACTTAAATTGTATTGATCCAATGGAAAATCGTAGGATGGGTGTGAGGTGGGACAAAACTATGGCAAACCAATAAGGTTACAGTAGTCACAATGTACGCCAGGCGTGGTGGCTCACACCTGTGAATACCACCACTCAGGAGGCTGAGGCAGGAGGATCATTGTGAGTTTGAGGCCAGCCTGGGCTACAAAGTGAGCTCAAGACCAGCCTGAACTGCGCAGCAAGACCCTGTCTCAAAAAAAAGTATAGTCACAATGCCTATTTAAATACCTACCAATTAATATACCTATGTAGAATATCAATCACTTCTTTTCATTCCTAGGGGAGGTATTTGGGTGTAGTCATTCCTTTGTTGTAAGACCTGACCTACAGTGAATGTGCCTCTAGCCACAATTGTCTTCTGCACTGGCCTCTCGAGGACCCAGCCCTATCTGACTGCCTGTAATGTTTCTAAATAATTTAGCTATCTATAATATTAGGATGGGGTACTATGGGATATATGGAGGGGATGTATGCCCTAATCATTCAGAGTCCCAGAGCATTGCCTTTCTTGTTCCCCCTACCCAGGTTTATTTAGACAGGGTTTTGCTATATAGTCCAGGTTGACCTTGAACTCTCTATGTAGCCCAGACTGACCTCAAATTTGTAATCCTCCTACCACAGCCTCCCAAGTACTGTCTTTTTCTGGAGGCCCAAAGTCCAAAACAATAAAAAATATAATATTGTATAGTATATTTTATCCCATATACCACATCCATGTCTTGAGATTCTTACTGATGTACATTCATTTTACTTATTAAATATTATCTTTACTGGATTATAATTGACAAATGCAAATTATATATTTAACATGTGTATATATATATTAATATGATGTGTTTATACACACACACATTGTAAAATGACCACCACACTCCAGCCAATTCATATTCATTTTTTCACCCCTTAGTGAGGATTCTTTTTGTCACAAGTATTAGAGAGCAACATACAAATTTAAGTACCTTTGTTTTGTAATCAGTGTTCTTTAAAACTAAGTTGTGCCACCTGTGTTAGTTTCCTGGGCTACTATGACAAAGTAGCACAAACTGATTGGTTTAAAATAGGAGAAATACATTCTTTCGCAGTTCTGGAGTCCTGAAGTCTAAAATCAAGGTACTGGCAGGGCCACGCTCCCTTTAAAACTTGAAGGGAGGATCCCCCTTGCTCTTCCCGTTTCTAGTAGTGCCGGGCTTTCCTTGGCTCATGATAGCAGCAGTCTGAACCTTCCTCTTCACGTGGCCAGCCTCCCCCTGTGCCAGTCGCTTCTCTCCTTTATATAAGGACATCAGCCAGATTGGATTAGGGCCCCACTCTAACATCCTCACCTCAACTTGCTTACGTCTTCAAAGATCTCGTAGTAGTCAGCTTTCCCATTGCTGGAACAAGGCGCCTGCTTTACACAATTTAAAGGAGAAAATGGTTTGTCTCAGGGTTTCAGAGATTTCGATGCATGGTGGGCTGGCTCCAAGCCAGGCAGATCACGGTGAAAGGGCGTGGTAGAGCAGAGCTGCTCACTTCCGGGAAGCCCGGCAGAGGGAAGAGCACCATGGCAAGATGCACCTTCCAGAGGCACACACCTGGGGACCCAGCTCCTCCAACTGGGCCCAGTAACCTAACAGCATATTCAGCTATGAACACCAGTGCCACATGATCCAACCACCTGTGCAGGAGGCTCTTCATCTAGCCACGCTGACAGTGAAGATGAACTAGTGAAGACCTTATTTCCAAAAGGTCTCATCCACAAGTGCCAGGAGTTGGGACGTTCCTATCTTTTGGAGAGATAGAGTTTAACCCCAAACACCATCTTATCATCAAGAACCTTGTCTCTATATGCAAGAAATAGAGCCCAAGCATCAAGTGATACTGAGACTGTAAGGGTGCACAGTACTCCTTCAGACAGACGGCTTATAGTTCCTAATACTTTTGAGTCGTCTACCAGCAAACATGCATAGAGATAGTAAAGCTACGTAATAGTTTAGAAAAATCAGTAGCTACTTTTATTGTAAATTTTGCTGTGCTTCCCTTTCTTCAGACTACAGAGATAGGTATTTTTAACATTAGCATTCCTTAGTACGTATCTAGCATACGTACTGCAGCTATGGCTCTGGAAGATTAACTGCTTGTGAACACAATGGCCGTTGTCTGCATTCCTCCCATTGCTGTCTGGTGCAGAACCGTCCTCCCTACAATGGCCTGGGACCAAGCGAGAGCCACTTTGTACCAAGCTAGTGCTTGGTTAGGGATGGGCAGATGACCAAGGTGGCCAATCCGTCCTTCCCTGGAGCTTCTCTAATAGAAGGTAGAGAGAAAACAGTCCTCTTCCTCTCCGATGAGGAGGTCTGTGGGGGTGTAACCCCAGACTGCTGTGCACAAGCTTCCTGCCGCAAAGAGAAAGCAGGTGGCCCTGCAGGAAAGTGAAATCAGTTGGCAGAGGGGAGCAGAGACTGGCTGGGGCAGGTGTGCAGTGGCAGTGGCTGGGAGCGGGAGGAGCGGGGCTGGAGAGAAGGCATAGGAATCCATCTATTTGGCAACTATCCCTACCTTTTCATCAGTTTGGTTACATAAATGGATTTATTCTTTTTTTAATAGAATTAGCCCAAGAGGAGTATCTGTCATTGCAAAAAAAAAAAAAAAAAAAAAACAAAACAACTTTATTAGAGGTACAGCAAAGCAGTTATTCCTGTCTCCCCATTGTCTAGGTTTTAAAAGAATGAATCAGAATTTAGTTCATCAAGAGAGGACAAGGGGAAATAAACAGAATATGGGTTATAGTCGGGTGTGGTGGTGCAGGCCTGTAATACCAGCACTTGGGAGGCTGAGGCAGGAGGATCACTGAGAGTTTGAGGCCAGCCTAGGCTACAAAGTGAGTTCAAGTTCAGGCTGAACTGCATAGTGAAACCCTATCTCAAAAAGACAAAAAAAATTAAAAAATTTGAAAAGATGTGTTAGGTACATGTACCAACTCTCCATGCATAAAAATAAGAAAATTTATTAAAAAGTATCCACATGTAAGTTTTCAAGTTTTATGTATATATACATATGTGTATATATGTAAAAGCCTATAGATTACTCCCAGAATTAACTACAAATTTAAAATACTTTCTTTTACCTGCTATATGTTATTATATTATGATACTTAAGTTGTTATAACCTCAAGGTTACCTATTTTTTTAACTCATTCCATTTGTGTATCTCAATTCAGTATTTTATTTGCTTTGCATTTATAGTAAACCCTGCTAATCTTAGATTAAATGCCTCATAAAATATGATTTTATTCTTTCAGGAAAAATATTCTTCTAAAAATAAACCAGCTAAAAAGAAAATTCCAAGGGATTATGCAGAGTGGGATAAGTATGTTTTACATTTGTTTATATAAATTTGTCATTGAACAATTCTTTACCACTATGTACTATAATAATTTTTAAAATAATTATTATAAACCTGAACACTCCCAAGTATCAAATTATTTTTGTAGAATACTGAACATAGCTAGTCTAAGTACTTTTGATCTTTTTTTATTAAATAAAAACTATTGCATTTTTTTGTCTATAAACCAAACAAAAACAACTTTTTTTTTGGTACAGGGAATTGAACTCAAGACCTTGTGCTTGCCAGGCAGGCACTTGTGCTGCTGAGCTATATCCCCAGCCCCCAAAATAACTATTGTTCTCTTCCTACTCATCCAAACTTTACTTAAAAAATACAAATATTTTAAATGGAGAGAATGTAGTCATAATTTTAATATCAGCATTCTGAGCAGGTTAGATCTGTTTAATATTTAAAGCTTTGCTTAATGGTATGTTTGCTTAAGAAAGAATACATGTGACTTAAAAAACAAACCCATTATGCATGCTTTAAATATGTACAGGTTGAGCCTCCCTAATCCAAAAAATCTGAAATGGTCCAAAATGTGAAACTTACTTTTTACCACTGACATGACACTACAAATGGAGGGCCTGGGGATTTAGCTCAGGGGCACAGTGCCTGCCTGGCAAGCGCAAGGTCATGAGTTCGATTCCTGGTACCGGAAAACAAACTAGAAAAAAAAAAAACAAAAACACAACAACAACAAAAAACCACAATTTTCCTAGGGGCTGGGGATATAGCTCAGTCTCATAAGCACCTGCCTGGCAAGTGCAAGGTCCTGAGTTCGATCCCCGGTACTAGGAAAAAAAAAAAAAAAAAAAAACAAAAAAAACACAAAGTACTACAAATGGTAAATTCAATAACATGAAACTGGTTCATGTACAAAATTTTTTTAAGATATTGCATTAAATTTGATCAGGCTGTTTATGCATTGTATATGAAACTTAGATGAATTTTGCATTTTGATTTGGGTCCCATCCTCAAGTTATCTCATTGTGCATATGCAAATACTACAAAATTTAATTTGCTGGTCTTAAGTATTTCATATTAGGGATACTTAAAATGTAATTCATGTATGTTTTCTTATATGGTATCTTTTTTCAGCTTTTTTTTTGTTTTTCCATTTAAGATTTGATGTGGAAAAGGAATGTTCAAAAATTGATGAAGATTATAAAGAAAAGACTGTAGTAGACAACAAGTCACATTTATCTAAAATTGAGACAAGAATAGACACAGCAGGTAATAGGGGAAAATAAGACTAATTTAATAGTCTTTAAATTTTCTAGTGGTAATAACAACCATCAACCTACAAAAATTGTCTTTGAGTGTTGCATATTTCTATTAAAAGTTTATGGATTTTCTCATAAAGTTGGCCAGGCCTAGCAAGGTTACTTGTATCTTGTAACTACTTAATTTTTTGTGAATAAGTTATAATAACTAGATTTACTAAGACTTGAAAATATAAGTCTGTTTCTTACTGTGACTCATTTGTTTTTATCACTTTTCTTAATCTTCTCTTTCCTATAAATTACTCACCTGTTTTTCTTTCTGCTTCATAAGAAAAAAATGAAGTCCATAGTGGACAATAAAGCTAATCATAAAAAAATAAATTCTAAAAATTTTTCAATGTTTTTTTTTTAAAAACTGCTAAACTTAGGAAAGCTTTCTATTTTATGCTTTAACTTATGATTTTCTACTTGTGTTCAAGGTAAGCACCCTCGGGTGCTCGGTGGGAAGACACAGTGCCCTGAGTCCCACCCCTAGCACTGAAAAACAATTTTTAAAAACGTTCTTGGATTTACAACTTCTATTGCATTATATTTTCACATCTAACAGATAATATTATCTCTAGGTCTCACTGAGAAGGAAAAGGGTTTTCTTGCTACTCGTGAAAAGGAAAAAGGAAATGAAGCTTTCAACTCAGGAGATTATGAAGAGGCTGTCATGTATTATACGAGGCGAGCAGATTTTTGTGGTGGTTTAAACTTGCTATTTAATAAATGATAATATTTTCATTATTGGAAAAAATATAAGCTAAATAGTCTATGTCAGAATCACTAATCACTAAGGGTTCTGTTCTTGTGATTTTTATAAATTCACCTATGTTTGTCCTTTCAGTATTTTTTCAGAGCTCTTAAGTTTTTACCTACTCCCACCTGGACAGAGGACCTAACTTTCCTACTTTACAGAGAACAGAAGGAAACTTGACAGAAAATCTGTATAGCTAAAAATTATGAACTTGGGTTCTGCAGCAGACTGCCTGGACCTAATCTCCCACAGGGCCTTTGTACATCTAGAGTCCTCTGTCTAAAATGCTCTTGTCAGGCGTGATGGTGCACACCTGTAATCTCAGCACTTGGGAGGCAGAGGCAGGAGGATCACGAGTTCAAGGTTAGTTTGGGCTATGTGGCAAGACCCTGTCTCAGAAAAAAGAAAGAAAGAAAGAAAGAAAGAAAGAAAGAAAGAAAGAAAGAAAGAAAGAAAGAAAGAAAGAAATCTAACACTCCCTTTCCCCTTCCCTCTCTTTCTCTCTCCCTTCCTTCCTTCCTTCCTTCCTTCCTTCCTTCCTTCCTTCCTTCCTTCCTCCCTCCCTCCCTTCCTTCCTTTCTTTTAGATCAAACTTAGGGCCTTGTATATGCTAGGCAAGTGTTTACCACTGAGCCATACCCCAGCTCCTCCTAATTTGCCTGTTAGAGTTTAGTCCATGCCTTACTTCTTTGGAGAAATCTCTCCTTTTTTTTTTTTTTTTCAGTTAGGGTCTCTACATAGTTCAGACTGACCTTGAACTCACTATGTAGCCCAGGCTGGGCTCAAACTCATGGTGATCCTCCTGCCTCAGCCTCCTGAGTGCTAGGATTATAGGCATGCATCACTGCTCCAGGTGAAATATTCTTTGACCCCCTAGGAAATCTCAGGCTACCCTTTTTACTGCCACACCATCAGTTTAGAGGCTCCTGTAGCAGTCTCAGCTCTCCGTTGTAGTGCCTGTCAAAATACAGTGTAAATCTGTGGTTTGATACTGACTAGACTGTGGGTCTATAACAGCAGAGCCCACTTATCCAGCACCCTGGCCTCAACTCCCAGCAGAGTACATGGTTCATGGCAGCATTCAATAAGTATTAAATCATCAATAAGCATTAAGTAATTAAATCTTTAATGATCTTTAAAGATCGTATTGATTACTTTTCCATTTGTACCATCTGTTTCTCTCTAGATTTGGTAAATTCAGTGTGCCAATGCCTTATCTTTCCTATATTTGCATATTCATTTTGTCATAGCATTCCTTTTTAAGCCATACCAGGTAAATATTAAATTCTTCTTTTCATTAATTATTTTGTGCTACTTGACAGGCTATGATTGTTTTCAACTTTGGCCAAATTTCTCTATATCCTAATATTTACCTTAGGTCTGCTTGTTGCCAATAAGTGTTTCATTTTTTAGGAGTATATCAGCGCTTCCCACTATAGCTGCTTATAACAATCGAGCTCAAGCAGAAATCAAATTGCAAAACTGGAATCGTGCTTTTCAGGATTGTGAAAAGGTCTTGGAGTTAGAACCTGGAAACATAAAGGGTAAAATAGTCCTTGAATGCTTTTATATTTATACCAGAGTCCATTAAAGAATATTTGTAGATAATATATTCGCATTAAACATATTAGAGATAAAGTCAAATTTCTATATGTGAACCAGCACCTTCACCCATTTACTTTTGTTTTGTTTTGTTTTAGACAGGGTCTCACTGTGTAATTCAGGTTGGCCTTGAACTCACTTTGTAGCACAGGCTGGCCTCAAACTTGCAGGGATCCTCCTACCTCAGCCTCTCAAGTGCTGGGATTGCAGGCAGGCAATACCATGCCTGGCTATACATTTACTTTTAATTTCAAATTTCTCTTGGAATTTAAATCCCTGATTATTTGTACTGAGATAGCTAATAATCCCAAAAGATTGAATAAGGTGTTAGTATTAGGGGGAGCTGACTGCACACAGGAACTATATGCTAAATTTTCTGTAACTATCAAATTATTTCAAAATTAAAAAACCCCAATGATAACTTATATCATGGAAGTTCCCTTTGGACATCTGAGTAACAATGGCAGTAGCTAAAGTATACTTAAAGCACAATGCTACTGTATTCATTAAATTATGACAAAATAATTTATCCTTCAGGTTTTGGTGACTCATCCTAAGACTAAAATCACATAGGTTAAATTTATAAATATGTTTTAAAATAGCATATTAAAATATGTCAGATATAAATTTCTCACTTCTCAGAATTATTGAGCCTAATTTTTTTTATCAGCATATTCACTTATTAGATGAAGTTCTGTCACTATATAATGATCAGTAATGGGATTATGACAGCATTTATTGTTGCTGTTAAATCATCATAAATTTACATACCAAAACCTTCCCAAAAATCTGATGCAAATTATCAGTGTGCTCAATCTCAGAACCTTAGCTGACTTCATCATCAGGATTCTCAGTTCCCCCATGCTAAGAAACTCCTCTTCATTCTAGAGATGGCTGACTAGATTTTACTAATGTGCCATATTCTGAGCTAGAAGCTGCTCAGTAATATACTAAATTTCAATGAGGGATTTCCTAACTTTTTGGAAAGGGGTGAAACAATAGTCGTGCTGATGATAAGAAGGAACACATTGCTTTTTTAGCAAAAACTTCCCAGTGGTACAGCACAGCATGGCGCCTGTGAAGAGGAAAGGGACAGAGTCTCTCTGCCTTAGGAGATGCAGCCGCGGTTAGGATTAGGGTTAAGGTTAGGGTTAGGGTTAGGGTTAGGGTTAGGGTTAGGGTTAGGGTTAGGGTTAGGGTTAGTGTTATTGTTAAGACCTAGTGTTAAGTTTAGGTTTAGGGTTAAGCTTATGCATTAGTGTTTGATTTAGGCGTAGTCTTAGGCTTTTGGTTAGGTAACCCAGTTGCTTGATGTATCCTTTCTGCTTACTAGAAGATTTCTTTTTTATGTTCACTAATGTGAAAATGGGTGTTTTTATGCTTTGTATATTTACATCCTACAGTGTTGCATGCTACTTATAGTTTTACACCTGCAAATTATGTTATAATCACAATGCTGTATAGAAAAACATATCAGTTTTATTTTCGTACCTTTTTAGCCCTTCTGCGACGTGCCACTACTTATAAACATCAAAACAAGCCTCAGGAGGCCATAGAGGATTTGAGGAGTGTATTGGAAGTTGAACCTGATAATGATTTGGCCAAGGTAAGTATAGAAAGTGATTTTTCACCTAATTCTATAATTTGATGTCTCTGAATTTACATTACAATTGTATCAACCTTGGTAAAGAGATTACATTGAGGGTTAGGTCACAGCTTTAATAAGTAGTATATCCCACACACCTGAAAATGTAACATTGATTTAAAGTAGAAGAAAACAATTCTTTTTTTTTTCTCCGGTACCAGGAACCGAACTCATGACCTTGCGCTTGCCAGGCAAGCGCTTTTGCCGCTGAGCTAAATCCCCAGCCCCGAAGAAAACAATTCTTAAAAAAATTGTCCATAAGCACAGACCTATCCATGTGTGTCAAATATTTAATTTTTCTCCCTCCTACAGTGTTCCAGGCAATGCTTTTCCCTGAGCTAATCTGCATGTATCATGCAGAGTAGAAGTTCCCTAGGTAGGATGAGGGGTGAGCTGCTTAGCATGGAAGAATGTGTTTCTGTTGTTTGCATGGTAACAGCATCGCTGCTAGCCTGCGCTACCTGAGCGGACTACCTCAGGTGCAATTACAGGGCTCCGTATCAAGGTTGAAAAGCAGAGGCAAGTGTCAGCGACTGTGACGGATCTGAGATTTTGCTCTACTTGCAAATTGACAAGGTGATTTAGCGGAGGAGCCAAGATACCTTGCGTCAGACATAAAGGACTTTTTATTCCTGACACATTGAGCAGATGAGCTTCCCATTCTTGTCACCCTTGCTCCCAGGGGTGGCACAGACTGGCCCAGATGGATGCCGCACACTCAAAGGCTTTGTGTGATGGCCGAGGAATCTCAGATTTAGGAAACGCCCGTTGTTTATGATGGGGTGTAAAGGAGCTGGCCAATCTCCGCTCCAAGGGGAAATGGCATCTTTTTTATACTGCAGAGCAAACAAACCTGCTTTGTCCTCTCCAAGGAAATGCCCTTTCTATTTTCCAAGGCTATTGTTCTCATTAAGACATCATTAAAGACTGTCTAGAGCAAAGGCAGTTGAGTGCCTTTGCTTGCAGAATGGTCAGAAATGGGAGAAAGAGAAGAACTTCCCTCGAACAAGTTGTCCACGCATTTCCACACACGCCTGTTGGATTGCCCACTGTATCTACCGCACCTTGTGTCTCTTTACTTTGGTTGTAGTTATTAAGTGTTAATGGAACAATGTTATTAAAGAAAAATTTGAAATAAGAACCCACTTTTAATTTTATGACCTTCCACAATTTCACGTTTACATATTAACTTTTGGGCCTTATCCAAATGCATCTTTATCTTAACCACATGTAAAGATTAACTCAAAAATGGGCCATTTACCATAACATAAAAACCTAAAATACACTTGTTACTTTAAAGGTTTTATTTTTTAATAGTGGGTGTGTATAATTATGATCAAATAAAGCAATGAAGTTGTTTTAAAAAAATAGACCTCCATAAAGTCTTATCGTTATATTTTAATATCTTTATCTGTTCTTTCCTGGAGGAATGTTTTTTTTTAATTAAAGAAAAACATTTTCATTTATATGATTATGTTGCAGAAAATCTTGTCAGAGGTTGAAAGAGATCTGAAAAATTATGCAGTCACATCTAAGTCCCAAACCCAAGGTGGAAGGATGGTTATTGAAGAAGTAGAAAACTCAGAAGACGAAAATGAGAAGAAGAGCGGAACTAAACATGATATCGGCGGCGGAGATAAGAGTAAAAAATCTCTTTTATTTTGGTTATGCAAAAACCTACCTGTTTATACAGTGAGCTGGCTCCGTTGTTCTATTTGTACAGAAATGCTTAGCCGGCTCTTGTAAATCTACAAGCGAACTGGGCTCACCCTTTACTTAACACAGTTTAATTCAATCTGGCAAACTCATGCTTTCTTCTTAATCTGGAGTTTTCCCCCAGTGCTCAGTCTAATTCCTGATGACCACCTTGTAATGTAAGTAGCTGTGCATATGTGACACCAACTGTTTGCAAATTATCTTTCTCCCCCTCTCTCTCTCTCTCTGGGGTGATTTGTCTATATCCACTTAGTTGTTACAAATGTATTGTATTCAATAGGTGTGTCAGGGTGGCCCTAAAATGCATACAATGTTGGTTACTATGTGTTCCACTTAAGATGTTTTTATTTCTTTTCTTTACTTTTCTTTTTTGTCTTTTTGAAACAGGGTCTTGCTATGCAGTTCAGGTTGGCCTTGAGCTCACTTTATAGCCCAGGCTGGTCTTGAACTCGAAACGAAGGATGTTTTTAAATATGCAGAAGAGGCCAGGTGTGGTGGTGCACACCTATAATCCCAGCACTCTGGAGGCTGAGGCAGGAGGATAATTATGAGTTCGAGGCCAGCCTGAACTGCATAGCGAGACCCTGTCTCAAAAAAAAGGTACGCAAAAGAAATAAATATAATTTCACTTTTAAAGTAATTTCTAAAACATAGCCTAGACTAGGTAACGCTTTATTTTAAGGCAAAGCAGTGAAAGTTAAGTTAGTGATGAGGGGAAAGATTTGCATATATTCTTAACCAGGGGCACAAAACCTTTTCTCCTTCCGTAAGGACCCCTGAGCAACTGAAGGGAAACCATGAAAATCACTCACAAGTAAAAATCAACTTGGGCTTGGGATGTTGCTCAATGTACAAAGCCCTGAGTTTGACTCCCAGAACCAGAAAAAAATTAAAAACAGGTAAAAATCCACTTGTAAGTAATTTTACCGAATATTTTAAATTTGAGATGTATCAAATGTTCAGATCACTGAGCTCTAACAAAGTAAAGAACAGTAACTTTAGGGTTTTTCATAAAATAGAAATATAATCTAAAATGTACACCTCATAATAAAATATGATCAGTTAAGATAGGATAAAGAAGAAAGAAGAAGAAGAAGAAAAAAAGACAGAATAAGGAGAAAAGGGCCAGGCATGGTGGCACATGTTGATAGTTCTAGCACTTGGGAGGCTGAAGCAGGAGGATCCCTGCAAAGTTCAAGGCCAGCCTGGACTACATGCTAAGTTCAAGTCCAGCCTGAACTCAGTGAGACCTTCTCTCAAAAAAAAAAAAAGAAATAAAAAGAAAGGGATACATGTACATGCACACACACAAAACAAAACACAAAGGAACAGAAGAGCAGGGAGGAAGAGAAGAAGATGAAGAAGAAAAGTACCAGAGAGAGCTGAAAAAGAAGAGCGAGAATCAAAGGATAAAAGGAGGGAGAATTACTTGAACATTTTTAAGCCTCAACAGTCACCATGTAGTGAGACTTTGAATAAACTGTGGCAGCAAAGGTTCTTCTTAGGGTTTATATTTAATGTAAGTGCCTTATAGTTAAAGGAAATAATTTAAAGTCTTATCTGGAACAAAATGAAATATAAGCTACACTAATTGCTACTATTTTTTAATTAAATGCCTAGGTAGAGTAAAAATGGACTTTTTATGGGAATGCAGTTCTAACTCATGTATAATTTCTCATAACAGCCCTAAAATCAGGCTAGAACAATTTCATCATCCCAAAAAAACTCCTCCTGCTGCCCTATCAGACAAACTCCATACCGCAATCCTTATTAACCATCTCTGTATTAGTCTCCATTCCTATAGCTTGTCTAGAATGTTAAATAAATGAAACCAGAGAACATGCAACATTTTGAGACTAGCTTTTTTCACCAGACACGTCACTGAAAGCCATTCATGTTTCATTGGTTCATTCCTTTTTATTGCTAGGTAGCATTCCATTATATGGCTGTACTGAAATTTGTTTATCTGCTCCCTGGTTCAAGGACATTGAAGTTGTTTCTGGTATTTGCTAATTATGAATATAGCTGCAATAAATGTTCACGGACAAGTTTTTATGTGAATATAGGCCCTCATTTTTCCTACAGTCAATACCTAAGAGCATGATTACTGGATCATAAGGCAAGTATATGTTTAGTTTTACTGGAAATTACCAGACTGTTTTCCCGAGCAGCTGTACCATTTGCCATTAGCAATATATGAGAGTATTAGTTGCTTCATATCTTTGCCAGCATTTGATATTATTATGAGTTTTTTCTATTTTATTCATCCTATTAGTTATATAGTGATTTCTGTTCATGACTTTACATATAATTTTAAAATCAGTTTCTTAAAGGTATATTTTATTTTTCAGTCTGCGTTCCTCCTGTTTCTCTTAATATTGTTATATTTCTTTATCATATAAAATCACTTAATAATGCCATATATTTGATAACTATTTTACCACAAGTCTTTTGTCATATTACTAAAATTTACATTTCTGCTCATTCTGAATACAAGTGATTCTTTTTCTCTATATATCACTATAATATATAGCAGAGTAGAATAAATAGGACAGCAAATATAAAGCAGTAAAATCAATTTCCATAGAAAGACAAATACTCATGCTTGGAGTTTGGTTGGATTTTCATTGAATTTGTAGATTTGTTTGTGGAGAAGTGACATAACCATATGGAATTTTCTAATCCATGCACATGATATGTCTCTCCATTTGTTTAGGTCTTCTGTGATTATTTTTCATTACCATTTTGTGAGTTTTCAACATACAGGCACTATATATATATATATATATATATAATATATAATATATATATTATATATTATATATATATACAGGCACACGCTTTGCTTTATACTTACATATTTCAGTTTTCTGGAGTTATAAATAACTTTTCTTATGTATCTACTATAACAATTATATATTTTGCTATTATACATGTTTCAACATTTTAACTTTTTAAAAGCAAAACAAAACTTCCATTTCCCAAAAACAATAAAACAGAAGTCACGTTGGTAAGTTTAAACTCAACAGCTAACTAATGTTCCCTTAAACACGAGCGCATACTGATAACAAAATCCAGTATAATACAGATTAATCTGTGTTAGTTCTCTCACATTTACTAAATTGCTCAGCGTACATAGCCATAAACTAGAATTTCCTGAAAATGCTTGGCTTTGCTTCAGGATTCACTGGCTTTAAGATCCTACTTGAACTCTGGTTCACGTTTTTCTGACGTGTCACAGCTGACCATAAACTGAAAGACATTAGACTCATAACCATTCATGTTGGACTCTTAGCTTTTGAACAAAATGCAAAACAATACAGGCTCCACTAGAGCATAAAAGTTGAACCTTAATGAAGCAATCCCGAGATAGCCTCAGATGGGATGTTTCCTGAACAAATATGAAAATGCAGACAGGAGAATATGTAACACACACCCTCACAAGTGGGGCAAGGAAAGGGGTGCGTTTCAGTGACTAGCAAGCGACTCTTTTATGTATTTACCAGCAATGTGGGGCAGACATGGAAAAGAAAACTTGGGGAATGATGCTGATTGAGAACATGTCAAAGTGTCCACCGTGCGGTCAGAATACACAGTTCTGTGTATAACAACTGCTCGGTGCTATTTCCGTTTATTTCACTTTCAGTAATAATGTTTTTTCTTACATGATTGAACACGTATGTTTCTTTAAAATTAAATCACGATTGAAGAAGCAGTGGCTTATCTTTCTAATGAAGTGACCAAGCTGCTGAATCTTAAGGCCTCAGCACATGTTGCGTTTTATTATTTTCACTGCATAAGCCCCTTTGTCCGTTCCTGGTGAGCAGCAATTTTGTTTTTCCGGTGGTTTCCATTGGCCAAGTAGTCATGACAGATGTTTTGACACGGTGCCCACCGCTTCCAGGGGTTACACTAGATGGATCGTCTTTCCCAGCGCCGCAGCATGGCAGCCTCCACCGAGTCCATCCGTCGGGATTTCTCTACCAAGGCTGGCCGAGAAGTCCCGCGTTAGCTGCCAGGGCTTCGTTCTGCTGAATGGGATAGTCCTGAAATCTCACGGCTATTTTTTGTGTCATTTTTAAATATTTCTGTAAGCAATGTTCCAAACAGGTGATCTCTTCAGGTTGTACTTCTCTTATTGTGGGCCGGGGACATAGCTGGGCGGCACAAGCACCTGCCTGGCAAGCTCAAGGTCATGAGTTTGATTCCCGTATTAAAAAAAAAAAAAAAATGTACTTCTCTTGTGAAGTCTTTCACACAGTCCCAAAAGCGGGTTTCTGTAAGCTTATTTTAGGTTCCCATGAATTCCCTAAACTGTTTTATCTGATCAGATTCTGATACCTGCAGCCGTATTCTTTTGGTATATTTATGAGTCACTTTTTCTGACGCATGAGTTTCCTGAGTTCTTGAGAAGTAGTTCTCTCTCTCTCTCACTTTCTTTTTTTTTTGGTCTTTTTGAGACGGGGTCTCACTATGCAGTTCAGGCTGGCCTTGAGCTCATTTTGTAGCCCAGGCTGGCCTCAAACTCGCAAGCATCCTCCTGCCTCAGCCTCCCGAGTGCTGGGATTACAGGCATGCGCCACCACGCCTGGCCAGGAGAAGTAGTTCTCTAACTTCTGCTCAATGTTTCCAGTGTGGCCTGATTTCTCACCCAGTCACCATCTTTCGCATCCCCATGTGGCTGGGGGCTGCGACCACGGTCTGGGACACAGGCAGGCGGGTAGGCCTGTTGGGGTTAAGTCTGCGCCTTGGCCGGAGGACAGCTGAGAAAACGCGGGAGCTGTGATGTCAAGTAGTACTTACAAATAGCTTTTTGTGCCTGTGTTTATGGTACTGTGGATTGAACTCAGGACCTCGTGCATGCTAGGCAAGCACTCTACCTCTGAGCTACATCCCCAGCCCATAAACAGAATTTGTAAAAGTTTC